ACCCTTGATTTAATTTCTGAATAAAACATACACAATAAACTTAACTTTCTACAAATAAGAGATCAAAAACGTTTGTAAGCAGAAATTTATTTTTCAGGGCACGTGTATTACATTTGAAAACAATGATAAGCAAGGGCATTTGTCGAAAAGCATTTTTGTTACTTTGGCGACAAAATGCCACACCATTAGAATGGTTCATAGTCTCTAGTGTAAACATTTAATGTCTTTCATATGCAAAGTTATGATCTATTTTTCTTTGTAACGTATTTTTATTTGTAATGTAATTGATTTTACATGAGTTTTTTCTTAATTTTCTGATCAGAGATTTGCTAAGAGCTTGAGCACTTTATTGGCCTTTTCACAGAACACACTAGCAAACCTTTACTGAAAGTAATTTTTTTTCCATTTAATTAAATCTGCTTCCACTATCATAACGTTCATTATTTATCTATCTAGTTCATTAAGTGGAGGGAAAGTTTAATTTTGTTATTGTATAGTAATAATTTATAGCTTTTCCTCTAAATATATCTGTAGCCTTGTTCCAAATATTACAAGAAACTGTTAAAATCATTGATCTAAAATAATTTTAATTATCATTTAAAATAATTTTAATTTCCATTTTGTTCTCTTTGAATCAAGATAAATAGAGGGCTGTAACTTTTATTTTACAGATGGATTTCTTTTTACTCCTTTGCTTTTAACATCTAATTTTATCATACTATTTTGGGAGTTTCTAATTTCCAGTAATAGTGAGTTAATTAACACTCTTGCCAAAGACAAGAAAAAAATAATATATAACTTATTTTTTAACCAACATCCTAAAAACAGCAATAACAAGCAGTGGGAAAGTCCCAAGCTAATGACTGATTAGAGTTCAAATCCAGAGAGAGAAGTAGAAGACAGCAAATGGGAAAATAGAGAAATGCGAAGAGGGACCAATATTCAAAGCCTAAAGTCAATCCAAGGTAGAGAAGACTGGAGACATGATGAGATACAGTTTATCCCCAAAGGAAAATTTCAGTCTCTGTATCAAAACCACAGACAAGCAGACCAAGGAAAAAGAAAAAGAAAAAGGAGTTGGACAGAAAATAAGAAAAGGGGGGTGGGGGGAAGCTTCCTTAAGAAGCTGTGAAAACTACAACTCTAAGAAAGATAGTGACAAAGATCTTTATACTAGACGCATCCCTAATGGCAACACTGATGGGATCCCTCAGAAACCAAATCAAAGCCTATGCAGAGGAGACCAAATCCTCGAATCTTGGCGAAATCTAAATTATTTTCTCACTGACAATAATTAGGTAGCAGTATAGATCAAGCATATTAAAAAATACAACATGAACAACCACCGGCAGAAACATTACCTTCCTAGACTCCTGCTATTGATACTACTAGACACCATTTCATTCACTAATGCTTAATTGCTTAAATGAGTACTTAATAAAATGAGAAATGTCAGCAGTGCTCAAGAGTCTGTTTTTTAAAACAGCATATTAAGTTTGAAAAAAGGAACAAACACTAATTCTAGAAATGGCAGGCACAAAGGCAAAACTTCAAAAACTTAGTGAAAGACAGGACCTGAAAAAAAATCAAATGTGAGAGGATAAATTAAGACATCATCCAACAGTGCATCAAGAAAACACACTCTCTCTCTCTCTCTCTCCCCCCTCCCCTGAGATTAAGAGACATGGTAAACAGAGAAAAGATCTAAAATATTTTTTCTTTGGTCCCAGAAAGAAAGAAAAAAACCTTAAGACATAATAGTTTAGATTTTGAGCACCAATAAATAAATCGCCTTTCTACAAATCCAAGCACGATAAACAAAAAATAGATGTAAGTTCTACTGGCTGATATTTCCACTCAGCCTAACAGTCAATATTTCTGTGTCTATGTAACCTGTTTTTAAAAAATTTTAAAGTTTTATACAAAGTGTTTGTATAAAATTGTGTGCATGCACAAACATATACATACTTCTCACCTCACTACTCCAGAATTTACCATTTTTACAGTTCATCTGTATTTCCAAAATGCAAGACATGAACGCCTCTCCACTGTGGATACAGTTTCCCTGACATTTATGTCAGCTCACTATACTTAAGAATGCTGCTGATAAATAAGGAAAAGTTCATTAGGCTGAGGAGGCAGCCCTAGAGGGAGAGCACAGGCATGGGACCCCCTTAGGTGCACTCCCAGCACCCCAAGACCCCTGCAGCACCACTGGGTGTGGCACTGCCGGATTCCAGCATCACTGGTATGGTCCTTACTACAAAAAAAGCAAAGAAAGGTCCAGGACTTCAGGAACCATTTTTTTTAAATTATTTTAATTTTAATTTAGGTAATGGGGCTACAAAGCAGTATTAAGTGTATGATAGCACTGTACTGTCCTCCCGTTTTCATCGAGTTGCTTGAGTGGGCCCAGAAACGTCTCCATTGTGAGACTTATTACTGTATTTGGCATATCGAATACATCACAGGTAGCTTGCCAGGCTTTGTCGTGCAGGCAAGATACTCTTGGTAGCTTGCCAGGCTCTCCAAGAGGGACAGAGGAATCGAACCCGAGTCAGCCGCATGCAAGGCAAATGCCTTACCCGCTGTGCTATCACTCCAGCCCAAGTTTATATTACTGTAAAATGCTCTTGCACGCTACTGACCCTCCACCTCTGTCCCCATGTTACCTCCAGTCTAAACTTCCTCTTTGTACCTCTGAAATATGCTTGATCTGAAATTTAATTACGGTTTATGTCTGGATTACTGTGTTCTCTTTCTTTTTTGCCCACTTTCTCTTTCTTCCCCTACATTCACTAGTACTGAGCAAGCTCAGGAGCCCTGGGGCTGTTCCCACTGACTCTCAGGCGGGCCAGCAGGAGAGCTCAGTGCACTTGGGTCTACAGGGAGCTGGTGGCAATAACGAAGGGCGTTCAGGACCATTCCAGCAAAGCTCTAAGGCCATCCAGAGCCAGCAACTGAGTGCAGGGAGGCACATACGCAATGCATTTCCTCCAGCCCACAGAGCTATCTCCCTGGCCCCAAGGTTACTTTTAATGTTATATATTCCTAATCCAACAATTCAGTAAGATTTACTAGGAAAAAAAAAAACAGCCTCCCATTCCCTTTTTATACCAGCTCATTTGTCTCACCTTGGAAATAATCCTATTTGCTCTTTTAGATGATCTAATCTTTGACTATCATACCATTAAAGAGCATGCTTATATTGTTACTTTTTTATTTTTCCATTTTACGTATTATCATGTAATGCATAAAGAAGATTCAGCTTTCATTCAACCAGTGGAATTATACGTGTCAATAACCCTAATTTTCATTAGGAAAGTATTCATAACTGTACTGTTATAAAATGTAGATGTCATACACACTCTTGCACGTCTGTTTAAAATCTAACACAGGGCATGCACCAAACCAAGATTTGATCCTCAGCACCATATGGACTTCCAAGAACCACAGGACATCACTAGCCCTGGAGGCCCCCAGCAATGCCAGGTGCAGGCTCAGATGACCCTGGTGGTCCGTGACACATCAGGGGCTGAGCAGCACTGCCTCCTTGGCCTCTGGCATTTAATCACAAGGCCCAGCGGGGCTTATGCCAGTAATGCTCAGGGATTACTCCTGTACTCCTGGCTCTGCACTCAAGAGTTACTCTTGGAGAGTGCTATGAAGACCCTATGAGATGCTGGGTATCAAATCCAGGTTGGCTGCAATGTGCAAGGGAAGCGTCTTACCCGCTGTACTATCGCTGTAACCACAAAGTTATTAGACTTTGACTAAAGCTAATATTGAGATTCTTGTTTATCTCCCATTTGTTAATGTATTAACTATATAAGATATATTACATATTTAACTACAAATTATAAATCTCTGTTACATGTTACACACTATAAATTATATATAAAATATGTACCACATGCCCACTGAACTGGAAAAAATAAAAGAACACAGTCCTGCCTCCTGACATTTAATTCTTACAGTGAGAAAACTAAGAGGCAAAATAATTAAAATTAGGTAAGTATGAGACTGGGAATGGAGTAGTTCAATGGTAGAACACCTGCCTGCCTTGGTGAGGCCCCCAGGTTTGATCCCAAATGCTCCTAAAAATATAAATTTTAAAAAGAAGTATCTGAAACACATTTCCAGATGTGTGTTTTATGTGTCATAATAAACATAAGCACTCACTGAAATGGGAAAATGAAAAGTTTAGGGCCACAGCTATAGTACAATGGGTAGAGTGCGTGCCTTGAATGTAGTCAACCTAAATTCACTCCCTGGCACCATTTACAGCCCCATCAGAAGTGATCCCTGAAATCAAAGCCAAAGCAAGAGGCAGGAGTAAGACCTGACCACCACGGGGTGTAGCCCAAAAACAACAAAATTAAGTTTTTAACTCATATTAAAAGACATTAAAGAAAAAGCAAAGAATAGATGTTTGAATTAAGCTCAAGGGTCACAAAGTTCTTCAAAATAGAAATGAAGCATTTCTACTCACTCTAATGTGTTATTCACTACAACTTAAAGGTTGCATCTGCTCATTAAAATAAACCTCGGGGAAAAAAAATTTAATGACACGATTTTTAGAGTTAGAGGGAAGTCAAAGACTCAATTTTTTAAAAAAAAGTATGATCTGATCAACATCACATACCTGATCAATAACAAAGTCAAGATTTTGACTCCGGCTTCCAAGACACTGCTCTTTCCACTTACTATATCCTTTTATGGATGGGGTTTTTTTTTTGTTTTGGTTTGGTTTTTTTGAAGAGCTTGGGAGGTCACTAGGGGTCACTCTCGGCTGTTCTTTGGGGACCTATGCAGTGCTGGGTTCTAACTGGAGCAGGCTACATATTCTGCAAGCGCTTTCATTCCCGTACATCTCTCCCGCCCCTTTATTACATCTTAAAATGTTAATGACATGCATTAACAACTCCTCTGAGGTTCCTGTAACTTTTTAAAATCTAATTACTCAATGGAGAGGAAACTAAGTTATTTTGAGTATTTACCTTTCTACACGCAGGACAAAGCCCATTTTCATCAGTGCGAATTCGATGCCAGCAAAATCTGCAAATCTGGTAGCCACAGGTGCAAGGGAAAAAGTTGATATCATCTATCTCCAAAGGCTCCATACAGAGAGGACATTCCACAGGGTCTTCCTTCACATCAGGACTGCGAGACATCTTCACGTTTAAACAGCAGCAAAAGTTTATAATAATTTAAGGGAGAAGAAAGTTGAACACTGAGAACGAAAACGTAGAACTTCAAAGACCTGCATGAAAAAGAAAAGATAGGCTTTACTTATATCTTTCAAAAAATAAGAACCACCCCCCCAAAAAAAAAATCAATCAGTTAGACCGATTTCTGTTATCATTTTAGATTCAGAAATGGAATTTTTAATATTTCTACATGTCAAAATAAAAAGGAAGGCATTATTAATTTATTCTGATTCAACTGGAAGAACTTCCTTTTTTGGAAATGCTAAGACATTCTGTACTAATCGAAGCAAGAATTTAACACATTTTATGAGAATAAAAATATAAAGTAGCAGTAGCTTCAGACTTTAAACACTCTCTAAAACCATTTTATCTTGACCGTACCGGTAAGTGAGACTGCCCCATAAAGGAGTGCTACAGTACTTCAAAATGTGTCAACACACTGAAAGAAGTGGTGTCAGTTATCTACAAATACATGTTATAACAAATCCTTGCCAGAGAAAACATAGGCTATGCTGAAAAATAATATGCCACAGAACATGGTAACAAACACGTGAATGAAAACTCCTGCGAAAATAAGCACAAAGTATTCTTATGGTAATGGTACAAAATCCCTACCAAAACAACTGGAAGGGGGAAGAGAAAAAAAGACCAAGTTCCAAGTTCTAAAATTTCAATAATCTATATTTTTAGGCAATAAAATTATATATGTACCAATTTAAGCTAAAGTGGCTAATAAAAAGTTAGGCTGGTGTTTTATTTGGGGGTCACACCTAATGGTGCTCAGGGATTACTCCTTGCCCAGTGCTTGTGAAATCTAGTGTTGAGGATCCAACTTGGAAGTCCTGAATGCAAAGAAAGCACTTAGTCCTTCGAGTTATCTCTCAAGTCACTGTCACTGTCCTCCGGTTGTTCATCGATTTGCTCGAGCAGGTCCAGTAACGTCTTCATTGTGACACTTGTTACTCTGTTTGGCATATGGAATACGTTAGGGGGAGCTTGCCAGGCTTTGCCGTGGGGGCGAGATACTCTCGGTAGCTTGCCGGACTCCCCGAGAGGGGAGGAGGAATCAAACTCAGGTCAGCCAAGTTGGTCGCATGCAAGGCAAACGCCCAACCCGCTGTGCTATCGCTCCAGCCCATCTCTCAAGTATTGAAGCCAATTATTTTATGTTAAAGATATAACTAAATATATAACACTAGTTTAAAAAATGATTTTTAAACTTATCTGACAAATTAACTGAAGTTTATATAAAGAGGTGTACAAGAATACTAGGATACTTGTGGAAACAAATGTGCTCCATCAGACAATTTTCTACCACAAAGCTCCAACATTTGGGGGGGAAGGGGGTTGGGGTCACCCGGGTAGTACTTAGGACTTACTACTGGAAGGACTGGGGGGCCATATGGGTTAAAAAGGATTGAACACGGGTCAACAACATGTAAGGCAAGTGCCTACCCACTGTACTATCTCTCTAAACCCTAAAGCTCCAACAATTTAAATAATCTGAGAAAGAAAATATCTAGCGAGTAGAAAAAACACTTAAATATTTAATTCTTAAGACATAATTTTTGATAAGAATGACATTACAAATAAATATGACAAAGATGGTCTGATTTCTAGGTAAAAAATAAGAATACCGGACTATCCAGTGTGTATACACACACACACACACACACACACACACATAGCCAGTATACATATAAAATAGTACATATATGTATCAAATACAATCAAAATAAATATGCAATTATCTGTATAAAGAGTTACAGTCAAAACAATTCTAGGGAAATACAAAATGGAAGGCTGCTTCTTTCATGATTTTAAGTTATGCTATAAAGCAGCAGTAATTAAAACAGTGGTACTGGAATGAGGAGACTCTCAGACCGATGGAACAGAAATGGATGTCCAGAGACGGGGGAGGAGACAGAATGATCCCTCTACATGCGGGATATGATGAAACAGAATAGCAGAACAACAAATGCTGAAGGCAATAGAAACTGAGAACTTGTCTTCAGTAGGAAGCTGTGTGTGTAGGGGTGGGGGGAGGAGGGGTGTCTGTCTCACTGAGACAATGGTGAAGGGAAACAACCAGTGGATGATGGGTGTGGTGCTAGAAGAGTTCACATATGAGATCCAACAAGTTTGTAAACCATAGGAACTCCCAAAAAAATCACAAGAGAATTTTTTTAAATCTTGAAATACAGGTTTCCTAATGTAAGAAAACGAACTCAGGGTTCAGAGAGGTAGTATAAAGGTTAAGGCACTTGCCTTAGCATGCAGCTGCAGCAGAAACCCTGGTTTGAATTCCAGCACCGTGTATGGTCCCCCAGGCACTGATGGGCGTGGCCCCTGGACACAATGCCAGGTATGGTCTGAGGACATCACAAGATGTGGCCCCAAAATAAAACTGTCACTGTCCTCCCGTTGTTCCATGATTTGCTCGAGCGGGCCCAGTAATGTCTACATTTTGAGACTTGTTACTGTTTTTGGCATATCAAATACGTCATGGGTACCTTGCCAGGCTGTGCTGTGTGGGCAAGATACTCTCGGTAGCTTGCCAGGCTCTCCGAGAGGGGCGGAGGAATCGAACCCGGCTCAGCCGGGCTGGCTGCGCACAAGGCACACGTCCTATCGCTGTGCTATGGCTCCAGCCCCCCAAATAAAACAACAACAACAACAAAATCCCAAAATTCAGAAGGAATAAAATATGATTATTGGGGCCAGAGGTACAACAGGTAAGGTATTGCCTTGCACATGGCCGATCCAGGTTTGAACCCTGGCACCTCATATGGTCCTCTGAGCACCACCAGGAGTAATTCCTGAGTGCAGAGCCGGGAGTAACCCCTGCGCATAGACAGGTGTGGTACAAAAACCAAATGACATGATTACTTAACAGCACGGAAAGAAGAAAACAAATTTAAAAGCATACAAAAGAAAAAAAAAAACTAATTGAATGTACATAATTAAGAGCTGGTGTCCAGAAAATAAATAGAAATCTAGCAAAAACAATTTAAAGACAAATATCTGGACCACAGAGATAGTACAGGGGTGATGGCACTTGCTTTTTGCATGTAGCTGACAGTACAGCAGGTACTTGCATTCTATACAGCCAACTCGAGTTCAATACCACGCATCCCATATGGTCCCCTGAGCACCACCAGGAGTAATTCCTGAGTGCAGAGCCAGGAGTAACCCCTAGGCATTGCTGGGTGTGACCCAAAAAGCAAAAAAACAAAAAAGATAATATCGCCTTTTAGTTTTAGATTTTAAAACAAACTCGAACGAGGTCCATAGCGATAGTACAGTGGGTAGCGCATTAGCTTTGCATACAGCCAGGCTGGGTTCAATCCCTAGTGCCCTATATGGCACCTGAGCCTGCCAGGAGTGACCCCTGAGCACAAATCCTGAGCACTGTCAAGCTCCCCTCAAACACCCCTCTCCCCAAAAATGAAATTATTCTTATCTCTTTTAGGAAAATCTAAAACTTCTGTTAATAATTAAAGAATCTTCCTAAAAGTCTCAATTATTTCAATATAAAAGAGAAGCTTATGTATCTATAGGCAACTCAGAAATCCTAGCTTACAGATACAATTTAGTCACTATCATTTTCCTCATCTATAAGATAACCAGTTCAAACATTATTTTGAATAGCTTCCCCAACTTTAATATCCAAAAACTATACCCAGGGAAAAAGAGATTGACACACAGGTGTTAACAGTAAGAAAACCAACTAGAATAACTGAAGTGTGCTGTCTAGAATAACTAACGTGTGCTGTCTAGAATAACTGAAGTGTGCTGTCTAAACTTCTAATGGGGCTTTTTGTTTGTCGGTTTGCTTGTTTTGGCTTCAGTCACACCAGATGGCACTCAGGGTACCACCCAGTGCTGGGGAATAAACTGGGAGACCACCCCCCATTCAAAGCATGTGCTCCAGCCCTTTGAGTCAAGGGTCCAGCTCTCTGTTCTTCTAAGATGTTGCCATAATTAAAATTTATAAACGAGCTTCAGTTCCTTAGTAACTTAAGGGCTGCTGAGAAGAAAACAATATATTCAGATTTATGAATTAAAGAGCTTCCTGGAAAGTAAATTCTTATAAATAAAAGATATGCTGAGGTTTTGTTTTCTGATTGCTTCTATTATCTTTTTTTAAAGGCTGCAAGAGTATGTGTCCTCCAATTTAGAGGAAGGAAAAGAACAGCAAGAAAACAGCAAGAAGTGTGTTGATGGCTAATACAGAGGCAAATAGGTTTTGTACACTTCTAGCACCATGGAGAGAGGCCATGCAACCCATAGCCCGAGGTAATCCTACAAGCAGTAAAATGCAGGAATGCAGTCTATTATAATGCAGGGTAAGAGCTGATTTCTGCCTCAACCTTTCTTCTAAGAAGCTATGCAATCTTCAGTAAGACATTTCAAAGTTCTGAGACTCAATTTATTCACCTGAAAATACCCGAGAAACAAAATTTAATAGGACTTTGGATAGAGGAAAATTATGTCAAAGCAATGAACTAAACTATTAAGATAAACTTTAAACTCTCACTATTAAACACCCTAACCCAAGTTGTTGCCTAAAGAAAAATTATTTTATAAGCCAGTCAACTAATTTTAAAATAAGAATAAAACAGAATGAGGTGAAACAATAGGTGGCAGAAACGATGCTTTTAAATGATTTTTTTCAATTTTTCTTTGGTTTTTGGGCTACACCTGGTGGTACTCAGAGCTCACTCCTGAGTGCACCCAGCTATCAGCCCAGGTACTATTCCAGTCAGGCTAAGGGACTATATGGGGTGCCAGGGATCAAACACAGGTCAGCTGCATGCAAGGTTAGTGCCCAACTTGCTCCAGCCCTAATCATCACTCTGGATGAGAGATTTGGAGTATGTAATGACTGGAAGAAGTAACTGACTTTTTTTTTAATTCTGAAATTGCAAAAAAAAAAAAAATCCATTTTTACATACACTAACCTCACTGCATTTGCTAAACACATTTATACCTCTTATAAAAGATAAAACTAAAGACTAAACAACACAGACGTTTTTCAACTTAAAAAGAC